AAACTTATAAAATTTATATTTTTTATATTGAAAAATTCAAATATCTCTATCTTTTTTATTTGATAAAACTTCATATTATTCTTGGTTGAGTAATTCTTACACCTTTAATTCAAGGAATAAGGATAAAAATAGCCAGTGCTTAGGATAAATAAGGAGAACAAAAGAGAATGTTATATTTCAGGAAGGAGAATATTTTCTGTGAGAATGAAACTTTTTTAATTCTCTTTTTAAAATTTTTAACTTTATATATTATCTTTGTAATTAATTTTATTACAATAAAATTTTTTTTTTATTAATTAGGCGGGCCACAGGCTAGCCCGCCCCGTCCCGCGGGTTGGCCCGACGGGTTGGCGGGCTTGGCGGGGCGGGCTAAAGCGGGCTGGTGGGCTGAAAACACCAACCCGCCCCGCTATATTATGGTGGGCTGGCGGGCCAGCCCGCCGGGCCTAGCCCGTTTTGCCATCCCTAACCACTATCTAAACCATTTAATTCAATGGATATTTTTATAATTTAATTTTATAACATCATTAATTAAAATTAACTAAACTATTTTCATTCCTCGTCATTAATTAGTTGTTTTTTCTTCTACAAACGGTGGGAACAAGCATCACTTGCTTAACCTAAGATTCATTTTAGCATTTTCTTTATTATTTCCCTTTCCTGGTATCCCTCGGTTTCTCACTTTTTTTTTCATACTCGTCGACAGTCAGATGAATAGTAATAATAAGAAGATGTTTATAAATAAAATATAAATAATTATATGAAAAAATAGCCTCATAACAAGTGGGACCAAGAATTTCTATTTTACATATAACATGAATATTATTGAAAAAAATAAAAATAAAGACAAATGAGGCTAAGAATTTATTTTCCAAGTTCCTACCCAGTTAACTTTTTGGTGAATGAAATTGTTGCTCAGTGACAGATGCATGACTGACTCGTCACGAAATTGATTACAATGCCAAATATTAGAGGTGGATGGTGTTGGTTTTTGTGTGCTATTATCCATATCTCATATTTATTATTTTGTATAAATAATTATGGTAGTTGTTATTTCAAAATCTAAACTTTTTGAATGCCAATAAGCTAAAATTGAGGTTTGGTAGTTTGAGAGTTTTGTTTGCCAAAACGTGTTAATTTAGGGTGATATCACAAGTTGGCATAAACAAGTGTTGTTATGGTCTGAAACAAAGACATAGATTGTTTATTATGTGATCAACATTGTTCTCTATAACTAGAGACGGATCTTCTTTGGAATTAAGGAGTCTTGACCCCTCAAATTTTGTAACTCCCATATAATTTATGATTTTGACCTCCCAAACTTAATGAACATTTAATATATTTATTTGTATATTTACAATTTTATTCTTCTAAGCCCTTTTCAGCTTTTCTAACTCTCATATAATTTATGATTTTGTCTCCCTCAAACTTAATAATCATTTAATATATTTAAGTATATATTTACAATTTTATCATTTTACCCTTTCATCTTCTTATTTCATTTTATATTTATTTATTATTTATTAATAATATATTATTTAGTCCCTCCAAAATCAATGGTCAAGACTCGCATTCACCATAAACTCTCTTCACCTTCACCATAATGAAACTGAAAGTTGGTTTCCATTGAAAGGTATAAGTTAATTATTGCATTTAGGTTATTCAAAGAAGAAAAAGGAGCATTGGTATAGCAATATTGATGAGAGAAAAAGACGTTATGGGTAAAGATTGATGGTCGCTGCTGGCTATTAGTTATGGTGCATTGATTCGGAGAAGGGTCATCTTATCACCATCACACAGCAAACAATCCAAAGATATTGGATAATTAATTTGATTATTTTATCACATTTTTGTATAACACTGTAAATATGACACATGAGTCACCATGTGGAATAATTTACTTTTTTTACTTATTTATACAGGATAGACAAGTCTATCCTAAAATAATAAATAGGTCCGTGATATATTACTATCTAAATTTCAACTTAATAATTAAATAAATTTAGGTCGAATCCATGTAGAGTTATATATTAGCATGTTGTGTAGTTAGTTAAATGGGTTCATTAGCATTTATTTGTAGCGTAATTTATAAGGCTAGTTTATAGGTTAACTGAACGTAAATCACAAGTCAAATTGATCAGTAAAATAATATAGACATTTGGATTGCATTGTATTCCACACTAACCAGGAAGGTGTTGTTTTTCATTATTTTTATTAAAAGTAATTTATTGTTAAGAAATAGAGTGAATATAACAAACTAAAAATCAATACACCGATTAAAAGTTAGCAATAAACAACGCACATCTTAATCTTATGATTAACATATAATTTGTATCAAGTATCACTTTAAAACAGAAAGTTATTTTGTGTAATCAACTTATTACAATATACCAAACAAGATACGGAACAAAACACGTGGCAATGGAGTTGTGAGTAATAGGTATATGGGTTGGAATGTATTTATAAATTATAGTCCATTCAACGCCTTCAGAAAATTTAAATTAGAAAAATAATAACCAGTTAATTCTGTTTAAAAAAGCATTTATAAGATAATTTGATATAATAATATAATAATAAATATTATTATTTAAATTATTGGGAGTGGACAACGTAGGTGCATGGAACCTTCGGGTAGGGCTGCTCAAACATGAGAGGAATCACATGAATCTGCTTCAAACATGGGGTGGTTTGTCATTGTCCTAACTGGGCTAGGTTTTTCTTTTTCTTCCAAATCTTTATTTTAAGTTGCTAAGATAAATAAATAAAAATTAAATATGTTTTTAATACTCCTAAAATTGATTTTGCATTGATTTTGATTTGACACCTTTCAAATTTTTTTAATGCTGAGATCAAAATTATTACAAATATTTAATAAATATGTTAATTTGATTTTCACAATTAAGTTAACATATTTATTAAACATTGAGATAAAAACATTAAAAGACGTTAGTATGTATTAATTTAATACAAATCAATTTTGGAGGTAGAAAAGTTATTTAACCCATTAATAAATACTGAGATGTAAATCTAAATGAAATTAGCTTCATATGTTTAGATTAAGAAAACTTGAGTTTAAATTTTATTATTGAAAGGAATGTAGTTAATAAAAATATTAAGGAAGTTTCTTCACTCGTTGAATAGTACATTAGGTTCACTCGTTGAAATTAATCATAGTTGATGAATAGTCCACATAAATATTATGATGATAAAAAAATTAGACAAAAATAACATCAAAGTTAAGTTTCTAACTTTAAAAAAAATTTAACAGTTTAGAGAAAAGAAAACAAAATAAATTATTATATTGATAGTAGAATTCATGTTGATAAGACTTATTATCTACATTATTTGTTTCCTATAAAATACATAATAGAAATATTCAAGGTAAGTTATTAATTCAAAATAATATATAATTTATTGATAAAATATCTTTTACAAATTTTAAGTATTTATATATCATATATTATCACATTACAGCAACACTATATATTGACCTTAAAATATTTGATCTTTAATTAGGTTTAACTACTTCAGACTCCCTACATGTATCAGACCTAATCAAAATAATTCATAACGAATTAAATTAAGTTATGTTAGATTAAGACTAGTGATATGATTTAGAGAGTTCAATATGATTTAAGTTTTTTTTTTTTTAACTAAATGGGCTAAAATATCATAACCTATTGAATGAATTTTTTTTTTTTTTTTCTTATAAAGAATTTTATGGTGTTTTAAAGGATAACATATGATGATCAATCTCTCATAAATTATCTATCACTTATCTTCTATTTTTTTTTAAGTGTGGTGTTAATATCCTTCAAAAATCAAATATCAAAATTTTCGTATTTCCATTTTGTATCAATTGGTATTGAGTTTTGGTTTTTGATATAGAAGAAAGAGAACTTGTTTGAATATCAAAATTGTCATGTTTTCATGTTTATATTAATTAATATTGAGTCTTGGTTCTTGATATAAAAAAAAAAAAAAAAAGAGAACTTGAGAAAAAGAAGAACAAGGTGATAAAGAAATAAAAAAAAGGAAAAAGAAATAAAAAAGAAGGAACTAAGAGAAAAAAAGAAATGAAAGAGAATGAGGTTAGCGTAAAAGAAATGAAGGAGAGTTAAGAGAAAAAGAAATAGAAGACTTGAGAGAAAAGGAAATACAACTTGAGTTGGGTCATGTGTTTACTGCCTTTGGGCTTTGGCCTATAACTTGTCGAATCCATCTTGTGTTGATTAGTTAATTGAAGCAAGTCCATGAAAAAAATTATATTATTATCTTCTTTCTATTACGTACGTTCTCACCCTATACTCTAAATTTTATAGTTCAAGTTATTTTCAAAAGTAACTTGAACATATATAAAATGAATTAAATTTCTTCAATAATTTGAAATTAACGTATATTAAAGATCAAAGCCGTCCCTGGGAAGTTTAATTAAGAACTGGCTTTAACTTGGTGATCCAAAGAGTTGAACAAATTGATCCACGAATAAATTAGAAGTGGTTTCACTGAAAATGATTCTTTCCTCGACCGTGGTACAATAAAGGTTCCTTTACATGATTTAATAATTAAAAATATTTGTATGAATTTTTTAAGGGACTTTGGACTTATTATGAAATTAAATTTACTTATAATTTATGTTTTAAATGTCAGTATAAAAAGGGTGTGGAAGTGCATGAATTTTGATCCGTTTTGTGAAGAAATAAGTGAGGGTAAACGTATAAATAAAAGAGCATTAAGTGGGTCCCACCCAGGTGGGATATGAATTGTTGTGGAGGAGAATAATGCGAGAGGCACTGTCAAGGGCCACACCACACCGAGACAGAGTGGCTTTGCATTTGTGGCTGAGAAGTAACCTCTGCAGCCAACGAAATTGACAAACACATATTTATTGTGTCAGTGCTTCTCAAATATTTTTAAATAAATAAATAAATATATCCATCTTCCACTCTTGGATCATGCAAAACAACACACCTTCAAATTGCAAGCCTTGAACTTCAATTATGCGAACGCTTTGTGATGCTTGTGAGAGCGCCGCAGCTATTGTTTTCTGCGCCGCCGATGAGGCCGCGCTGTGCCGTGCCTGTGATGAGAAGGTGCAATTCTCCACCCTTTTCTTTCTTAATTAATTCACCATACTTCAATACTGTATATGCATACTGCCATCATTTATTACTCCCTTCTCTTTTTCCTTTTATTTCTTCATGCTCCTTTCTTATACATTAATGTTGTTCGCTCAATGCCTCTTGTATTGTAAGCTGTTTCTCAACTTTTTTTTTTTTTTTTTTTATGTTATCAATTTTGTTATGACTAAACTCTACCCAGAACCTGATTGATTGAACATTAGTGGAATTTTTCCTTTTAATCATTTTAACTAAGAGTTAACAATGTTCAAATAATTGAACCAAATGTTATGTGGCATCCCTTAACCAAGTCCAGGGTTCGATCCTCTCTTGAGTATGGAGTTATAACATTTGGGGACCTTTTATCCCTTAGTGGATGAACCCGCTGCGAAGGGAGATTGGTTAGACCTACGAGTGTTAATACCACCTGGTTAATTAAAAAATTAACGTGGCTTGGTGTCGGAAAGTTCCTCATTATGCCAAAGCATGGAAAAGGGTCATTATGCATAACCTTAAGCTGTAGGTAAGGAGGTTATTTCCGGATTTAAATCTATGAGAATCGGTTACCTAGGCGCAACTTTATTGCTGTGCCAAGGCTATCTTAATACCACTTGGTTATACCAAAAAATGTTGGAATTATTGGCTGAACTTGGAGCAGAAAGTTCCTTATTTGAAGTAAGTACCTAATGACTAAGTGGTTCCTTAAATATAAGGACTTGAAATTTAAACCACCCATTTTGTTATTGCTTCATAACAAGTATATACTTTTATTTATCTTTTTTGGATATGAAATCCAAGTTGGTTTACTTCAAGTCTTAGCTTTTCCTGATCAAAATCTCTCAGTTGCTCAAAATTTAAACTATATTGGAGTGACAGGTTCACATGTGTAATAAGCTAGCAAGCCGGCATATAAGGGTTGGTCTAGCAAGTCCAAGTGATGTGCCGCGCTGTGACATTTGTGAGAATGCACCTGGTAGATACTCTTCTCTTACAATCCTCATTCTGATCCTCATGGTGTTTTTCCAAATCCATCTGATCCTCATGGACCTCTTCATTTGCTGTTTTTCCTTTGGATTTGAATGGACCTTTTCCTCATTTGCTGCTTTTTCTTTGGATCAGCTTTCTTCTATTGTGAGACAGATGGAAGTTCCCTTTGTTTGCAATGTGACATGATTGTTCATGTAGGAGGTAAAAGAACACACGAAAGATATCTTCTTTTTAGGCAAAGAGTTGAGGTATGTATTCCTCATCATACAAACATGAATTCTAAGTCATGGTTTAATAGCATCTTAATGATGCCTTTTTGTTAAAAAAAAAAAGTTTAATATCGGTTTTAAACATAGTTTCCAGGAGATAAACCTGGTAAGTCAGACAACCCAGCTTCACAACCTCTGGATCCAGGTGAAACTAAAAGAGGACAAAATGCACTGTCCAAAATAAAAATGGTAGAAAAACAGCAAAATCACAGGATGCCTCTGATTCTGACGGCAGAACCTAATGTTGATGAGCATGCCATGATGGGAACTAAAATGATTGATTTGAATATGAAGCCTCAGAGAATACACGAACCAACATCAAATAATCAGGTTAGGATGCATGGAACGTAAATTTTGCCTAACTATTTAAAAAGTATGTTATGGATATCTTACAATAAATGGAATCATTACAAGTACTTACATATATTGCAAACTCATCTCCTAGTTAAATTCTTAATAGTATAGTGAAATTTTGACTCAAATAGTAGAATTCATATTAATACACTTTAACCTGGATCATTGTTTTATAATTGTTGTTGTGTTCATCTCTAATGTTATGTTGTTTTCAATTAGTTATCGTATTAAACGATTAACTAAATAGAATTTAAAACATGACTGTCATGGCATCATTCAAGCTTCATGTACTTAGTGTATAAGCAGTCACGTACGTTGGACTATTAGTATGTTTTCACCGTTTTCTTAAGTGTGAGATGGGAAATCCTTCAATTATTGACTTAAAGAAAAGTTATATTGTATTGTAAAGTTGGGTCAATGTTTTGCCTATCAACACTGAAATTTCTGTTCATAAACCTTGTTTGACTAGAGAGTTGGAGTAAATAATAATATAGAGAACAATTAAAATACCCCTTTATAGCTCTCATTCAATATCCTTCATCTTTTCATCTGGAGTGCAGTCACCTGGTGACTATGAAAGTAAAGTAGAACTATGTAACTTTTGTACTACACACATCCATGTTACAGTATCCATGACATCTAGTGGCATACACATTTCTCAGGAATGTTTGTCTATTCTTGGCAGCCATAATTGCAGTTGCAACAGGATCATACACCAGAAATCTTTAAAGAGGAAAGGCTTTATATATTTCTCATGCATTCTAGATACAAGGTTGCCATACTACTGTGTTCACAATCCTATTCTCTCAAATGTGTTGGATCATCAAGTCATTTGAGGAGTATAGTGGAGACCTATTTCCTATTTTAACACATCATATGTTACTGCTTAGCATTGTTAACTGTAAATTTTTAATCCCCATGCAATGAATTGTGTGGTAACTTTTAAGGTTTGAAGGTTTTTTATGCCTTTGAAAATGCCAACATGTTGGAATAATGGCAATTAATCTTTTTATTTATTCATATTATTGAAATTATTTTATGACAATTAGAGGTTAATATCTTTTATATTTTTATAAAGTTTAGATTGGTTTTATCTGTTGTAAGATTTAATATCCTGATAATTGTAGTCATTCAAATACATTGATTTTGTTCTTAGAAATTGTTAGTTGTGTTCTAATGGTGGCTAACTGAAACATATATTCCCATAGAGTATACGTAGGACAATCACGATAGGCTTTGTGAGACAAGAATATATTTCTCTACATTATTTTCTTCTGTCCTTTTAGAATTTTCTGAGCATTGTTTGTGAAGTTTCAACGTGTCTGGTCTCGAGTGCACGGGTTTAAAAACGCAGCTGTATAGACCTAGGTGAGCAAACTGGATATTGGGTTGCACCAGAAGTCCATCAGAATTTGCTTTCAGGGCAGTGTTATTTATCACGACACAACACAGTTTTTCTCTTATATTTCCAACAAACACGGGATAGGGAAGGGTAGATAGAGATCATAATAAGTCGAAATTTAGCAAAACTACCTATGGTGGTTCAAATTGTAACATCTGAAATCTTTTAATTTTTTCTTAGTTCTTTGATTGATTGATTGGTTGTGACACTTGTTTCAAGGTTGGAAGTAGAAGTAGCCTTGATTTCCAGATTTGCTCTGTCAAAATAAATACTGAATATTGAGACTTGCCTGTCTTTGAAAGACACCATCGTTTACTACTATACTATTATACTATAATGATGACCTTCATGGTCGCAACTACTTATTTATGTGTCTCTCAGCCATTCGGGGAACCGAAACATATTCAGCATCTAATTGTCTCTTCCCTATTTTTCTTTTCATTTATTTACTCTCATCATGACCCTTATCTCTTTACTTTGGAGCACATCTTTCTTGAAACTCAAGAAAGGGACATCCTAACAAATGATGGTGCAAATTTTCTCTCTTTTCATTGTCTTGGTCTAAAACACCAACTACAACAACGACCACACGCGGATGAAAAACGTGGAACTTGGTTGGCATTACTCCATTTGAGTCTGTGGTCCCTCCACATTAATTCAATGTTCAGCCCGGAAACCCCATGCTTAATATGCTTGGAAAGGTAATATAATTGAATGACAGAAATTGGTGTGTAAGCAGCATACTTCTGATTTCTTCTTAATGTGAGTTTAGTTCATTTTCTTTATTTAAGGAGAAAATTATTGGGTTCTAACAAGTCGAAATAAAAAAGTATGCAAAAAAGATCTATTTTGTTTGGTACAGCGATACTAATAAGTTTGAATCAATGCCTCTTGCAATCCAAACCCGCCATTAGCCCAAGAAAGAGATTTTAAACTTGTTTGATTTTGTAAAATGGATTTGATGTAGTGTTAAGTAAATAATTTGTAGTTGTTCATTTATTTAAAATAGTTCGAAACATTAAAGAATGAAATTTTATTTTAAATACTATTTTTAATGATATAATTATTTTATTATTAAAATTTTAGTGTAATAATTTAATATCACATATTTGTTTTCTAAATTTTTAAAAAACTGTCAAAGTGAAACCTTGAAGTGGACCAAAATTTCAACCTTTTTACATAATGGCCAGTTTTTTAATATAAAGTCTCTCTTCCTCTCTTTCTATATATTGGCAAAGCGTTGTTAAGTATGTCTGTTGGTATCTTTTTATCATATTATCTGATTTGAAAGAGTTAAAGTTAATATATATATATATATATATATATATATATATATTAATTTTAATTTTAATAATATTTATTTAATAAAGTATGTGTATTATTAATTTTTATTTTATGTGATTTTAATTAAATATTAATTTATTTTGTAGTTTATTTTGCTTATGTAGAAACAAATATTAAAAATAAAACATTGTGTTATAGAAGTTGTTTGATTATTAATTTGTGTTTCATTATATAATTACATTATTTTTATTTGATGAAGGATAACGTAATTCATTAAAAGACGATAAGAATAGTTAAAAAAAATCCTTTTTTATAATGATATCAAATTGTGATTTAAGTAATAACAATAAAATTTGAGATATAAATTATTTTTACATAATGGAGATGTTGCAAAGTGGATCAAGATAATGGAGTGTGAATCTATATTTATACATAGATATGGTTTAGGTTTAGTAAGCATTAATATGAAATAAATGAAAGTTGTTATAATCGCGATATTTTTGAAAGAAAATATATTCATTAATCTATTTCATAAAAATAAAAAAATCTATATTCTTTCATATTTATCGTAGATATTGTACATAAATTGTAGTAGAGATTGTACATGTTTATGTGAATTATGAATTTATGACGTGCACGAATTAATTATGATCAATTTGGAATTTTGATTTTTTTAATAAATTAAGACGATTTATAACAAATTTATTAACTCTAATTTGATAATGATATAATATAATATCTATATATTTAAGAAACTTAACCTGCAATAAATAAAATGAGTTATGTAACACCATTTTTAATCGTACAAAATATAAAAATTTAAATTGTATAATAAACCGTTCCTTCAAAATAAAAACTAAATCATACAATTTTTGGTCTATGTAAAGTCATGTATGATTTATTCAAATTAGTATTTATTTTTAATTTCCTATTTTGATAATTTACACCACAAGATGGTACAACTTTTAAAACGATAAATTACAATAATAAAAGAAAAATAAAACAAAATATTTCTAAAAACTATTATTATATCCTTAAATAAAGATTAGTGTAAAAATCCTAATTATTATATCCTTAAATAGTTATTCCTAACTATTATTATATTATATCCTTTAGTTATATAAGATTAGTTACTTTTTTTAATATTAATAATTATTATATTCTTAAAAAGTTAAAAATTATAAATTGAATATGAAAAATACATGTTAATTTATAATTTATCATGTTTGGTTTCTTATTATGTAATCAGTGATCTTGATATTATGATATAGATGAGAAATTCCCATTTTAAGAAAAGAAAAAAATAGTCAATGATTTATTTCTAATATTCTTTTAATTTTTTAAATAGTTTATCTGTTTAAAATAATAATTTGACTATTAGATTCATTAAAATAAATCACTAGAATTAAACTCATAAATAATATATTTAAAAAAAATACTCAAATCAAATATTTTTTTTATTCAAGTACATATATTTTGTAATTATTATTTTCTTCTCTTTCTAATTTACTTACATATTTAATTGATATTTATGGAAAATATCTATTAATTTATGAATTTAATACATGGAAAGATGGATATTTATTACTAATTATCAAATAATTACTTATTTATAAATTTTGCGGAGCTAATAGTTTTCATTTCTTTTCTTATGGAAAATTCTTTGGTTGTGCTTACCCGAATCTCCTCTAATAAGATATTTATGTGATGGGTTCTATAACAATTAAATCATCTATTTGGTGAAATGTGTAGAAATAAACTCTTATATTCCTTTTATGGTAGTATTTTTAAACAAGTTTTTATATAACAAACAAAAAGATATATCTTAATTCTATTTTATCTCTCAAGTAAGTTCAATGATCAACATAATGATCCTATTATGCAGATGGAGATAAGAACTCATGATTATCTTTTCGATAAATTTTTAATAGAACAAGTTCAATAAACTATCTTAATTTCTTATTTTACTATGTTTAAGTATCCTCATTTTTTTATCCTCATTTATTTATTATTATTTTTTCTCTCTCCTTGTTTACTCTTTATTTTCCTCTTGTTTCTCCTGTTATCTTTTGTCCTTTTCTTGTGACGTATGCTTTTTATCGTGCAAGAAAACTTCGTAACGAAGTTTTTCTCATGCACGAGTAAAATTTTTCTTTTATATGTTCGAAAGGGGGAGGAATGGTTTCTGCGGAAAATTTTTCCTCCCATATCACATGTTCCTCATTCTTCTTCTTCTATTGTCTAAATTTCAAGCAACGAGACTCTACTCGTGCAGGATTTGGTGAAATGGGAGAGAGCTTGAATTAAGTGGGAAAACTTCGGTAGAAATACCATACTAGGTAAGGGGAAGTTTAATTCATTCAATATATGAAATTGAATTGTTGGGTACTCTGTGAATACCCTGTGAATAAGGAATAGGAGTAGAGATATGAATTATTTGAATGTCTGATTTTGAAAAATTTCTGATTTTGGATGCACTGTTCATGGTTTGAAAGTTTTTGAAATTCTTAAAATTAAGAATGAATTATATGGTAAAATTGTTGTTTTCAACTTAAATTAGATATAATTCATGTTTAATTTCGATTTGGGACTTGTTTGGTTGTCTAAAACTGAGTAATTTGAAATCTGCCAAAATTTGCAAAATTCGATACTGTTACTGGGCGAAGGAAGAAGAAAGGGATATGGTGGGAATTTTTTAAAAAGATCAAGGGTAAAATAGTCATTTTACATCCTAGGGACATAAATGTAATTTTCGAAAATGTCCAAGGACAAAAAAGTCATTTTCGGGACATGGAAGGAATTTTCAAAAATGTCCAAGGGTAAAATAGTCATTTAAGGACATACATGGAATTTTAAGAAAAGATTAATGACAAAATAGTAATTTAATGATTTCAGAAATGATTTTCGAAATGATTTTAGAAAAATATATATATAAAGAGAGAGAGAGAGAGAATGAATGAAAGTAGTGTGTTGTGACGTGTGTGGGTCAGACCGAGCCTGAGGGCTGATGCCTAGAATCAGTCCTGAGACGTTATATATTGGCTAGACTGAGCCAGAGGGTTGGTGCCAGAATCAGTCAAATACTATTTTTATTGACCCGAATGAGTTGTGAGGACAGGTGATCCAGAATCCGGCAAATGTGAATAATTTTTGTTATGTTTGAATGGTACCTGGGGTGGTAC